GGGGCACTCGTATGTGCTTTCTCCCAAGCCCTGCTTTGTATATCCAAAATACACAAAGAGTGTGGATCTGCCCTGGCTGTGATTGTTGGCAGCGGGAGCCAATGGCTGCTGATGCTGTGTTTGAGAGAAAAAGCCGAGAGAGCCTCTGCTTTCATGCACATCGCTGGATTGAGATCAGGCTCAGGTAAGTATTTAGAGGGGGATGGGGGCAAGGGAAGCTGCATGCAGAAGTTTTTTTAACTTCATGCATAGAATACATGTAGTTAAAAAACTTTCTGCTTTTCCGATTACTTTAAGGACAGCAACAAGTATGCAAGGAGCAAGATATCGGCTGCAGTGAGAACAATAATCTGGCAAACTGGAGATGCAAAAACAAGGTTTAAATTATGAAATTCATGGGAGGAGCAAAGAGTTCCAGGTTCACCAAACACGAGATACATGGCATGGTTGTCCAAGGGATCAGGCAAGAATCTGTCCAGCATCTCAGGCGGCACAGTGAAAATAGCTATAGTCAGATACTGCAAAAGTTCCAAATTCAGATCCAGACCCTGACAGTACTCCCCTCCTTTCAAGATGGCCCCTTGACATCTTAGGGCAAAATTTGTAAGGAAAAATCTAGTGGAACTCTTTTGGTAGTCTACATTCTTTGAACATTCTTCTCAGGGTCCCAAAGTTTCCAATTTTCCTCTGGTCCAAATCCTTCCCATTGAACCAGATATAGAAATTGTTTCTAAAGATCCTGGAATAAAGATTTATTTCAACTACAAATTCTTCTTCACCCTGTACTTCAACATGTAGGGACCGCTCGCAGGGACCGGAACACGGAAACCAGATGCCGGCATTGGCCAGAGGAGATGGCCGGGGACGCTGCAGGGGACACATCGCAGGAGCGAAGGACAAGGTAAGCGCTGCAGGGAATCCCTGAGCAATGCCGCATGGTAAGCCCGAGTGTAGCTCGGGGTTACCGCATTTGGTACTGAAACTTTACCCCGAGCTACACTCGGGAATACCGCCAGGGGGGTTAAAGACAATGCAGACATGCTTGTGATGTTCCTCTAAGTTAACAAAAAAAAAAAATAAGAACATCGTCCGGATATGCTATCACAAATTGGTTCAACACATCTCACAAAACATCATTAATGAAATATTAAAAACGTGTGGGAGCATTGCAAAGTCCCATAGGCATGACCAAAATCTCCATATCTTGTTCTAAAAGCAGTTTTCCATTTATCTCCAGAAAGAATGCAGACAAGGTTGTATGTCCCCTGTAAGTCTTATTTTGAAAAGGCTTTCACAGATCAGAGCCCTTCCAGCATTTCTGAAATCAGTGGGAGTGGATAGCAATTTTTAATAGTGATCTTGTTCAAATCCTTGTAGAGCTACATGGATGCAAAGTGGGGTCCTTCTTTTCGACAGAATAAGGCTGCCCCAGCAAAAGAGGTTGAGTGTCTGATAATGCCCTTCTCTAAATTCTCATCAAGCAACTCCCTGAGCACCTTCAGTTCAGGGATATTTCCAGGGTTATTTCTGGAAGCAATTCAATGGGACAGTCATATGGGCAATGGGGAAGGGAATGATCAGCATTCTTTTAACAGAACCCCCCAGGAATTCATGATATTGTGGAGGCAGCTTGTCATATGACTGAGTAGTTGCCACAACCGCTATTGAATCCCTAGTTGTTGGAGGATGTGTTTAGTAAGGTTCTTTACTACATACTTTGCAATGGTCTGATATAAAAGTTACAGTCCATGTCAGTTGATGAAGAGATTATGGATTATGAACCAAGGAATACCCAGGATGAAAAATGTTATCCATCTGCAGTTTCCATATCAATAGGGGCAGGTTTATTTCTCAATTGAATGTTATTGTCTAGGGTAAAGTTAATGTCCATGAAGTTTTCCCCAAGCCCCAGTGTCCAGAATAATGGAGCAAAGGATTTCATAGCTTTGAGTAAGGAGTTTAATAGGGCTGTATTGTCCAGAGTCTCCACAATAAAGTCATAAGTTCTCTGCATGTTGTCTTTCTTTCTCCAAAATAGAAATAGATCTCTTAATAACATTCACCTGCATAGGGTCAGGAGTATGGTGATTCAGAAAAACGTTTGGAGTCTTCTGAGTCTACTGACTAGTAGAAAAATTTCCTTCCTTACTTCTCTGATCACTTTGAATACATCATTTATTAAAAGCCTTGAAGTCAGCAGTAGTTTCTACTCTGGCAAGATTCTATTTTACTTGTTCAGAGAGCCCTTGATGGAACTCACTTTCTTGAGCTGCTGGATTCCAAGTGGTACCTGAAATCCAACATTGAAATTCAGTTGTGTAAGGAAGCCCCTTGAGAACATCTTCTGAGATTACACGTCAGGGTGGAGTCTGTACTGATGTCATCATGCTACTTGAGCAGTGGTTGGGTTGTTTTTTATGGTGCATAATGTGAGTACTTCTCTTTGTTGCTATTAAAATGTTAAAACATTTTTACATCACAGAGCTTGTTATTAGTGTTCTTTGGTGTAATCCTGACACATGTCAGATGTGGAGGTACTGGGTACAGGTACAGCTGAATTCCTTCGATCTCTGCTGGTGAGCCATGCAGTTCCCAGTCACCCCAAGGCTTTTACATTGTGTTTGAACTGACCTCTGAAGCTTTGAGGTCTGATCACCTGGTAAGAGTCTGTCATTTTATATATTGGTGGTGGAGTCACAAGGGATTTTGAAGACACTTTTATATCACTGGATCACAGTTGTTTTGGATATGTTGGACTTATAAAGACATTTTTTTTATACTTATGGGTGTTATGTATGCTTTAATCATTTAAAGGTATAGCACAACAATTTTTTTCTTTTGGATGTATTACATGGTTCTATGTGTTTTTGAGTGTTTCTGTACATTTATTTTCTCACAGTTATTTGTTATTCATTATTTTTTGCACCAAGTGGAGTTTTTTTCTTTTATATTTGTTTCTTATATTAAAGTGCCTACACTCTGGATGAAGTAGCAACAGAGCAACATTTGGACAGAGGCATTGTCAGTCTGGGGGAAGATAGTGTTAGATGCACTAGCAGATTTAGATACACTAACAAACTGAAGCCAAACACCAGCTAACATTTTTTATGTCTTTACAGAAACAGTTTTATTTCTATTGGGATAAAGGTTTTACATAATTAAATAACAACTGATCACTGTAAGCATCCCTGTCACTAGCAAATGGGTTGTCTCAACCCTCTAACTGCTACATCTGCAGGACAGCTTGATTTTCTGAAAAACAATAGGCTTACTGGCTAAATCATCAGGTGACAATAAAAGAAAGAAAGCCAAAAAAGAAAACAAAGGCAGCCATCACATCTTAGAATTGGTAAGCTGCAATTTAATAAATGTTTGCTTTTGGGTTTAATACCACTTTAAGCTCAAGTTAACACACATGTGTTGAATGATTCTGATCTTACTCCTCATCCCTCTCTCCTCCTCCCTGCCTGCCTGCCCTATTCATGCCCTATGGAAATTTAGTCAGAGAGTTTGAAGGCAAACAGCTTATGCTGTGATCTTGCTTTGGAAAACCATTGTAAGTTTCCTATAAAACAAACACAATACCATATTGGGGTTGAACTAACATTAGTTTACTAGGATCTTTGCCTGATTATGAATAATACAAAGGTGGTAATCTCTTAAAGCCATCTTTTTCCCCCCAAAACAATTAGCTTATCACAAAAAATATCTTTCCCCATTTTGTGTGAAACAAGGTGGACTTTAGTCAATGGAAAAAACTGTAAGACGTTCATCGGAAAACATATATTAGCAGCAGTCTATTTTTGTCTACATCCATCTGTTTAAAATATCTAAAAGTTGACTATAGCACAGTAGAGAAATGTTAAGGGAATGACAAGTACACATATGAGTCTACAAACAATCCACTTGAGCCCTACAAGGATAGATTAGCTGCACACCAAACAGTGCTCATCTTGTTAATAAGTGATGATAAAGACCCATTTATTTGACTGCTTAATCTCACTGTAAATAATAATTAAATGCTCTTCACTCTTTTTGTAATGGAAGATAATCTGTCAGTTGCTACTGGAATTTAAAACTGCTTTGCAACAAGAATACATTTTTGTGTTTTAATTTATTCTTAGCTTACATTTCTTGTAATATCTATTTTTTTTATTGAACTCAGTATTGCGTATGTGATAGGGTAAATAGTATTAAATTGTGAATATAGTTAAAATTTTTGCATTTGTGTTGGAATGGGTGCAGATAGTGTGAAACAACAAACAGATGTACTAAATTGAAGGGGCAGATGAAAAAACACTTATTTTTAAATGCACTAATACATGTGTTGTATGCACATTTTTTGGTCATTCATTATGCAAAGTAAGAGATAAACATTTAGAATTATTCTTTTCCAGGCGATGTATGTATGAAAAATATACAACACTTTATGATATTATTCCACAAGCCAAATATTTTAATGGACTTGCTTAACCACTAGCCTACAGGGCACTTATACCCCCTTCCTGCCCAGGCCAGTTTTCAGCTTTCAGTGCTGTCACACTTTGAAAGACAATTGTGAGATCATGCAACACTGTACCCATATGACATTTTTATCATTTTTTTTTAGACAGATAGAGCTTTCTTTTGGTTGTATTTGATCACCTCTGGGTTTTTAATTTTTTGCTAAACAAACCAAAAACAACTGAAAATTTTGAAAAAAAACACGTTTTTTCTTAGTTTTTGTTATAAAATTTTGTAAATAAGTGATTTTTCTCCTTCACTGATGTGCGCAAATGAGGCTGCACTGATGAGCACTGATAGGTGGCATTGATGGGCACTGATGAGAAGGCACTAGTAGGTGCCACTGATGGGCATTGACAGGCATCACTGATGGGCACTGAAAGGCAACACTCATATATGCCACTGATAGGCGGCACTGATAGGCGGCACTGACTGGCACTGTTATGTGGCACTGACTGGCACTGTTAGGTGGTACAGATGGGCACTGATAGGCAGCATTGATGCACACTGATAGGCGGCACTGACTGGCACTGATAGGTGACACTGATTGGCAGCACTGATAGGTGGCACTGACTGGCATTGATAGGTGGCACTGACTGGCACTGATAGGTGACACTGAAAGGCAGGTCAGATGGGCACTGATATGTAGCATTGATGTGCACTGGTAGGCACTGATATGTGTCATTGTTGAGGCACTGATGGGCACTGGCAGGTGGCATTGATGGGCACTGACAGGTGGCACTTCTGGGGCCACACTGATCATCAGTGCCCATGTCCCCTCCGAGGAATGCCGATTACAGGCTCTCCTCTCTCCTCTCGTGACAGCTCGTGAGGAGAGAAATGCAGATAACCAGTATTCCCTATTTACATGTGATCAGCTGTGATTGAACACAGCTGATCAGATGACCGAGCCGACATCTTCGGCTCTTACCGTTGATCGGTGATCTGCTGTGTCCGAGGGACACAGTGCACCACCGATCGCAATGCTGCACGCCCCCGGAGCCGCGCATTCACGGTTAGAGTGGGAGGACATCATATGACGTCCTCCCAGAATGAGAGAATCGCCTTGCACCCATCATTACCTTATATGGCGGGCGGGAGGCGGTTAATACTCAAAATTACACAAAATGCAGCATGTCTTATATTAAAAAAAACACTAAAAATACATTAGGTACGCGAGTCTGTAGTTCCGGTGCGTGGTGACGCATTTCCGGCGGGAGACGCCATTTTGCTACACCCAAGAGGTCCCAGCCACATGCAGTACACCCACACATCAGTGAGGAGGGAGATTGTCTGTAATGTGAGTGAAACCTTTTTTACTCTTTAAAATAAAACCAAGTTAATCGAATACTGCACTTAGAGGCTTTTTTTGTGGCTCACTGGATTGTGAGCTATTACTCTTCAGGACCGCCCTGACTGAATAGGGGAAATAGGAGCCCCTTTAAGGAGATCCAGGGAAGGAAGGAAGCTGCTGGCTATGATCTATTAAGGATCCAGGGTGATCCTGCAAGCCTGTTGGCCCCTAGGGGTCAGTAGGAGGAGGTGAGGAGGCAATTTAGCCGCTAATGAGGAGGAGTTTGGCACAGTCACGTGTTGCATTCAATATCACTATTGCACGTCACATGATTTATGTCATTTTGCACTAAAAGGACATTGGTCTGGATGCATTTATTTATGTATATATATATTTTTTTTTTTTTTGGCACTATGTGAGCACTGCTAAGATTTATGTCATTTCACTAAAAGGACATTTGCTTTGGATGCATTTATTCATGTTCATTTTTTTGTGGCACTATGTGAGCACTGCTAAGTTTTCTTATATTGGATGGTATTTTTGGAGTGTGATTTATTATTATTAATTGTGTACATACCATTTATATGGTTATGGTCTGGCACCTTATTTTTATTTCTCTATCATGGTTTGGCACTAATTTTTTATATGTGTTTTGGCACTATTAATATATTAATTGTATTTATGCTATTGATTTATTATTATTTAATTTCTTAGAGCGCTGCACTGTTTTTTATGATTTATTGACACTGTGGATTGGTATCAGTTTTGAGTGCTGGCAGCTAGTCAATAGGTTGAATACTTTCACTCTCATAGCGCAGGAGGACCTTGAATTATTTTCAACTAAAAATACATTAACCTACACTTTATACAGTAGATGCAAACTAATCCCATAGTACATAGGCAGAAAAGAGGGCAAGCATGAACAGGTCTTTAGAGCGAAAGTAGATACCGTTATTGCCCAGTGTTATTTTACTAATACACATTAGAACATGAAAGCTAGTGTTTATTACAGGCAACTACCCTATTTTACTTTTGCCTGGGGTTTATGTCTGGGGTTTATGGATGAGCCTCGTATAATAAAAGAGTTTTTTTTTCAAGATAGAAATATTTTTTTTTTAGTACTCAGGTACGTCAGTGTGGAGAGCCACTTACCCTGCCAATAATATGGGATTATAATAAAGAGCCCCTCCTTTGTAAAGATGGATTTGGGAATCTGTTTCCAAGCTTCTTGGCAGGTGTACTACAAATTGTTAATAATTTGGGCCTCAAATATTTCTCCTCTGAACAAATTTCATAACAGACTTTCTGGCACACAACTACCAGAACTGACCTCTTATAAAACCCCCATAGAAGAGTCTTGGAATGTTCAGCAGTCTGGGAGGTCAGATGCCAAAAATCTAGCCTGAAGTGTATATTATATATTATATACTATTATAAATATATTATATACTCTTAATGTTCTTCCACATGTGCTTTCTGGGTGCTGATGTACTGTGAATCTATTGCAATGTGTCCTCAATGTCATGGTAAAACAACCTGAAGCTCCATCTATGTTAAATCAGTACTCCAGGCAAACAGCTATAGATGAAATGCATACATAGGGGCTGCCATATTGTTTGTATTCTGTTAATCCAGTCCTATGATTTATATAGCTTTGCCCAGGGTACAGCCCTGTCTAGCAGGGGAGGGGACCGATTTTTTTCTGCTACAATTTCACTTTCTTCTGCAGGTCTCGTCCCCACCCTGTGACTGGTCTGTGAAAGGAAAAGCAGCACAATAATGAGCTAATCTGCAATTCTGTTCTCTCCTATTAACAGTGACCTGCTTGACGAGGGATGGGGGGACACCTGACTAGTTCCTTGTGCTGCTGCTTCTCCCTCCCTTACTGAGCTTTCCTGTACAGTAGACTGCAAGAGGCTAAAACCAAGTTAAACTTAACCAACCCATAGATGATACAGTTTTTTTCATTCAACCAGTGAGTTTAATGAAAAAACTGACTTGATACCCCCATTCACACACTCATTATATTCTGACAGCAGGGAGGCTATGACCTGCAGCACTGACTGAGAGGGGAAAATCCAATAGGGTGGTTGTACAGAAGTCGATCAGTAGATTTACTTCTGAGGGTGGTTGTACAGAAGTCGATCAGTAGATCGACTTCTGCATGACCACAGTGTCCACATATGCATCGAATTTTTGATTGTTGATTCATGTATTGCGGCTTTAATTATTTTCACTGCTTGCATTAAAAATATATTTAATGATGCATTATTGACATCTGAAATGCCAAAATATTATTATTATTATTATACAGGATTTATATAGCGCCAACAGTTTTACAACTTTACAATATAAGGGAGACAGTACAATTACAATACATTTCAGTACAGAAGGAATAGGAGGGCCCTACTTGTGGAGCTTACAATCTAAAGGAAGGGGGAGGTGATACAAAAGGTGATAGCTGCGGGGGATGATCTGGCGGAGGTGATTCAAGTACAGTTCTTAGCTGGAGGTGGGGTAGGCTTCCCTGAAGAAGTGAGTTTTCAAAGATCGCCTAAAGGCAGACAGGGTGGGGGCTGACCGGACATGCTGTGGTAGGGAGTTTCAAAGGATGGGAGAGGCTCTGGAGAAGTCCTGGAGGTGAGCGTGGGAGGAGGTGATGAGGGAGCTAGAGAGGAGGATATCATGGGAGGAGCGGAGCGGGCTATTTGGGTGGTATCTGTGGATGAGGTTGGTGATGTAGCTAGGAGCAGTATTGTGGATGGCTTTGTAAGCTCTGGTTAGTATTTTGAATTTTATACGTTGGGTTAGTGGAAGCCAGTGAAGGGGTTGGCAGAGAGGGGCAGCAGTCGCTGATCGGTTGGTAAGGTGTATGAGTCTAGCAGCAGAATTCATAATGGACTGAAGGGGGGATAGCCTGTGTAACAGTAGACCAGTGAGGAGGGAGTTGCAGTAATCGAGGCGGGATATAACCAAGGTGTGGATAAGTTGTTTTGTGGTGTCATTGGTCAGGAAGGGGCGGATTTTGGAAATGTTCCGGAGGTTAAGGCGGCAGGATTTAGCCAGTGATCAGTACCCTGGTGATCAGTGCGCAGCAGTGCCGCCCACCAGTACCACCCACCTGTGCCCATCAGTGCCACCCAGCTGTGCCAATCAGTGCCTAGTAGTGCCACTCACCTGTGCCCAGCAGTGCCACCTATCAGTGCGCCTCATCAGTGCCAGCTCATCAGTGCTGCCTATCAGTGCCCATCAGTGCTGCCTATCCATGCCACCTCATCAGTGCCACATATCAGTGCCCATCAGTGCTGCCTATCAGTGCCCATCAGTGCAGCCTCATCAATGCACATCAGTGAAGGAGAAAAATTACCTGTTTGCAAAATTTTATAATAGAAACAAAGAAAACATTTTTTTTTGTCTTTTTTTGTTTATAGCACAAAAATAATACACCCAGCAGCGATTAAAAACCACCAAAAGAAAGCTCTATTTGCCTGAAAAAATGATAAAAATGTCATATGGGTACAGTGTTGCATGACCGTGCAATTGTCACTCAAAGTGCGACGACAGTGCTGAGAGCTGAAAATTGGCCTGGGCATGAAGGGGGTATAAGTGCCCGGTAGGCAAGCAGTTAAAAGAGCAAAAAAACTGTTATTTTTTCATATGGGTGATTTTTTTAAGGTGTTAACATCAGTCATACAAAAACAGATGCTCTGAGGCTACAGCAAGAGATTTTAATATCTGAGCATGGGTGGCCTATTCGAACAGGTACACAGAAAATTGTCTTTAGCAACATGGTTCTTTTATGATGTACAAATGACCCATATAATCTGTTTCCCACTGTGCAGAATAAATGCAACTGGATAAAGCAGTGCTTCCTAATAATACAGCTGATCATGCGTACTCAGCAGGATAATCTTCCTATGACTTCATGTGTCACAGCAAGTCAAGAATTTCTCATTCTTCACAATGGCATGTAGGTCAAGCAGGAGTTTCACATTTTCAGTTGACATCTTACGCTTTCTGCATTTGTTCACCAGACAGAAACCACTGAACTCAAGTTAACCTGAAAAATATGTGAGTTGTGTTGTATGACTTCTCACAGGCATTTCCACTGATGCTCGGTATATCTGTCCCTGATGTTCTTTGCTCCCACGGATAAAGGCACGCTTTCTTATTCTCTAGAACTGGAGCCAAATACAATGTGTGTGAACTTCATTTTTCAGATGATTTTCTCTCTTTGTGGTTGTTCTTTGGAAGCAATACTACAAGTAAATATAACTGTGAAGCTGTACTCCAGGCACAAAAAAATTAATTGAAATATAACCCTCAAAATCCAGAAAGGATATATATCCACTTTGTGTGCACAAAATGCCTTACAAACCTAGGCATTAACTTGTAAAAGTAGCAGTGACATCATCTCTGGGTAGCACATACTGTAGTTTATGCAGAGAGCAGAGCTGTGGGAAAAACCCAGGAGCTTCACCCACTTCAGGCTGCTTGCTGCAAATTACAGGAGGGGGATGGGGGAGAAGAATACAAGACGATTCACTCTACACAGGTAGAGAGAGAAGTGGTGGCTGATCATTATTGAAGAAAGCTCCTGCCCAGAGGGAAAGTTTCATTCCAGATTATATTTTTTTCTGATACCTTCACCTTAGGAATGAGGTCACCAGGCAATTT